TAAAATACTATTAATAAAAAAAACACAAGACTTAATTTTTTATATAGTAGATATTTTAGTTTATATAAATAAACTATTAGTAATATATATAAATACTATAATAAATATTTACAACTTACTTTTTTAAGTCTTTTTTTAAGTTTTTAGTAAAATGTTTTTAAAGCTTATTTTAATTTTTAGCTTTCTATTCTTTCATGTAACTATACAGAAAAGATTTTATTTAAAATAATTAATATTTAATATATTACTTTTTTTTGTATTAATTAACTTTATATTTTACTATAATGTATTCTATAAGTGAGTGGATTACATAAGCGAGTGGGTTACCTTAAAACTCACTAAAAAACTAAGAATTTACACTTAAATATCTTAATAACCACTTAATAATAAATTCTGAAATTTGAAATTTGAGCTTTTCTATATGCATTACAGCGTTTCTGAAGGTCGCATGAAAATTAGTTTAGTAGTTTCTAAGATATAGCAATTTAGAAGCTAAAACTATGTCATATTACTATATCTTAAAAACTACTTAACTAATTTTCATGTGACCTTTAGAAACGCTGTAATGCATATAGAAAAGCTCAAATTTCAAATTTCTGAATTTATTATTAAGTAGTTGTTGAGATATTTAAGTGCGAATTTTTAATTTTTTAGTAAGTTTTAAGATAACCCACTCGCTTATATAACCCACTCACTTATAGAATACGTTATATATTTCTATTAATATTATAGTAGTATAGTAATATATATTTAGTAGAGCTATAAAATAAATTTAAATATCTTTATAAATATAGTTATAATAATTATTTAGCTAAAAAAACTTATGTATATAAATATAGTTATTTATAGTTAAAAATATAAAAGCCCTTTTTTTTATTAATAAAAAGATTATTTACTTTAGTTTATTTTAAATATACTTTTTTTTATTAGTAATTATATTTTAGTATAAGCATTTTTAACAAACACCTACTAAGTATACTAAGTTATAAATAAATTTAAAAATAGTAAAATTTATTTTCTACTATTACATAAATATAAATTTTATAGTAGGCTTTTTTAGCTTTTTATTTAATTTACTTTTAATTACAGATATAACAGTTTCTGTAAAATGTTTTATAACTTTTATTTTATATAAGTTAGTATTATAAAACTTACTTAAATAGCTATAGTATGTTAGTAAAATTTTAGAAAAACTAGATAATATTAATAACTTATACTTCTTAAAATAAAATAATTATAGTATAAGCTAGTAAACTATATTTAAAAAGCTTTTTATAAATAAGTTTATTATTAATTTTAAATGTGTTTTTAGCTAGCTTGTTTTATAAAATTATTTTAATTAAATCTACTATATTTACCCTCTTTTAGCCTCTTTTTTTAAGCTAGAAACTTATAGTGTTTAGAGTTATAATTATATTAAAGTAAAGACTAAAGTAAAAAAAAGATAAAAAACGTAAAAACTAAAAAAATTAAAATAAAGAAGAGTATAAAAAAATAATATATTTATATAAATAGTATAATTATATTTTTAATAATAAATATGTTAAGTTATACAATTAAAAAAAACTATAGCTTTAGAAAGTTTTAAAAGTAGTTAAAATTTCTTTTAAAAACTTTAAAAATAGATTTTAGACTTTTTATTAAGAACTTCTAATTTTTAGTAAAATAAGATTTAAATACACTCTTATAGGTAAGTAAGTGCTTAAGTATATTTAAATAAACTTAAGTAAACTAAAGTAAACCTAAACTAAGCTTAAGTTAAACCTAAATTAAGTAAAAGTAAGAAAGTAAGTAGTTACGTGATTAAAAGAATTTAATAGCAACGTAATTAAAGTAGTATAACAGTTTTTCTATTATATAAAAATCTAGAAACTAAAAAACTAAGTAAGAATTTAAAATATGTTTAAATTAAATTATTTGATATTAGTAAAGTTATTAAATTAGTTAATTATAAATTATAACTACTAATGTTTTTTATAAGTGAGTGAGCTATACAAGCAAGTGAGCCACTTTTACTAAGAATTACCTTTTCTTTAATAACTTTACGAAAACTTTATATTATTTAACAAAAATTTAAAATTAGCTTTTTAGATATTAAATGCACTTAGTATTAAATTTGCATTCTAATTGTCTTACGTAATTATAAGTTATTAAGCTTAGAATTTATACTTCTTTATAAATTTGGTTTTTAGCTATTTATATTTTAATAACTATTACTTAATAATAAATTATAGATACTTAAATTTAAGCTATTTGTGTCTATAATTTATACTATATTATGCTTTTATAGTTATAGTATTAGTAGGTTTTTAAGATCTTTAAGTAAGTGGGGCTAAATTTTAGCCCCTTACTTTTTAATATCTTAAAAACCTACTTATTTTATTGTTTTAAAATTCTAATATATTCTAGATTATATATACTAATATCTTGTGTTTAATTTTTATAGTTTCTTATTTAGTAGTTATTATAAATATTAATAGCTAAAAACTTTATTTATAAAGTAGTATAGATTCTAAGCTTAATGACTTATGATTACGTAAGACTATTATAATGCAAGTTTAATATTAGGTGTATTTAATATCTAAAAAGCTAATTTTAAATTTTTGTTAAATAATATTAAAGTTTTCGTAAAGTTATTAAAGAAAAGGTAATTCTTGGTAAAAGTGGCTCACTTGCTTGTATGGCTCACTCGCTTATAAAAAAACATTAGTAGTTATAATTTATAATTAAGTTTTTTTTATATATTATTACTTATATCAAATACTATTTAATTTACTACATATTTATAAATTCTTACTTAGTTTTTTAGTTTCTAGATTATAAAGTTATATAATTTATAAACTGTTATAGTACTTTAATTACGTTGCTATTAAGATTCTTTTAGTTACGTAACTACTTACTTTCTTACTTTTACTTAATTTAGGTTTAACTTAAGCTTAGAAATTTAGGTTAATATTTTAGTTTACTTAACTAGTTTTATTTAAATATATTTAATCACTTACTTACTTCTATAAGAGTGTTTTTATATCTTATTTTAGTTAAAGTTAGAAGTTCTTAATAGAAAGTCTAAAATCTATTTTTAAAGTTTTTAATAGAAATTTTAACTACTTTATAATAGTTCTAAAGCTATATTTTTTTTTAATTTTATATTTTAACATTTTTTTTATTAAAAATATAGTTATACTATTTATATAAATATCTTATTTTTTTTAGTACTCTTCTTTATTTTAATTTTTTTATTTTTTACGTTTTTTATTTTTTAGTCTCTTATTTTTTTTTCTATTTTAGTATTTTTAGTAGCTTTTTTTTATTTACATAAATACTAACATTTAGTAAGTAAGTAATTAAATTCTTATTAAAAAACTACCAGATTATACTTATAGTTTTAAAAAATATACTAAAAATACTAAATAAAAAAAAGTCTATAAAGTAAGAAAAACTTTTTTTTATATAAACTATATAAAGTTAATATAATAATTATAATTTTAAGTTAATTTTATTTAATAATAAGTATAGATAGTTAATAGCTTAACTTTAAGTATTATTAGAAATAAAAAAAATTTTAAAAGTACTTATAATATTATAAAAAAATAGACTTTTTTTACACTTAAAACTTAAAACAACAAAACTTTTAAGTTAAAAAGTTTAAAAAGAAAATCAGTATTATAAGTAGTAATAAGTAAAAAGCTATTTCTAATAGTAATAACTAAAATATAGTAAATAGCTTAAAAAATAATTACTAGCTACTAGCTACAAAGTATACTAGAAAGCAAAATACTAAATAAAAAAATAGTTACTTTAAAAAGTAAAATATAAAGTAAGGTTACTAGCTAATATTATTAAAAAACTTAATATAGCTAATAGTAAAAAAATTATAGAATATTTATATATATAGTTAATAGTAAAAAGAATATATAACGTTTTATACATATATTTATTAGTATAATAAGTATAGTTAAAGTTAATAAAACTTATTAATAATAAATTATAAGCAAAAAAATTTACTATATAAAAAAGAGTTTTTTTTAGTTTTAAATAGTTAAATTTTATATTTTTTTAATACTTTTAATGTTTTTAGAAATAAAAGTTATATAATAAATTAGTTAAACTATTATTTATTACATTTTATATTATTAAAATAACCTGTATTAATATAACTTAAATTTTTTTTATAATTACTAAAGTATTTAATATAGTTTAGTAGTATATTATTTACTTTAAAAAAACTTATACATTATTTTTATAGTATGTAGTTAAGTTTATATAATACTTATTATATAAAATATAAATAAGTAAATATTTTTATTTTAACTTTATAATAACTATAAAACTAAAAACTAAAAATTTTTAAAATTTTTAAACTTTTTTTTAATATATTTTAATTAATTTAAAAATAAATAAAAAATGTTAGTATTTATACTAAAATTAAAACTAAATTAAAGTTAAAATAAAGTTTTACATTAAAAAACTAGTTAGTAATATAAAAATATTAAAATATAAACTAATTAATAAAAATTAAAAAGTAATTAATAATTATAGTTAATATATGAAAATAATTATAAGTTATAAAAAAGTAGTAAAAATTAAAAGCTAAATTACTATAAAAAGTTTTGTTATGTAAAAAAAAAAAAAAAAAAAAAAAAAAATTATTTAAATTTTTATAGTTATTTCACTAATTTTATAGTAATAAAATATTTATTTTACTTAATATTTTACTTTATTAACTTATTTTAATTACTAAAGCTTATGTTATTTTACTTTACTATAAGCTTTTTTTACTAAGTTGTTACTAACTTTTAATATAATTAGAGACTCAAGTAATTGGCAAATAATGTAGGCTCTTTACCTTTTGGCCCTACTATTGTTCAAACGGCTATTTGAGTAAACGAGTTCGTGCCACTTCATTGGCCTGGATTCATAATTTCAAAGGAGCTTACCACCAACCGGGTGGGAAGCATTAATTAATCTGGTGGCTATCTCTGATGTCCCGCCCTTTTCACCACCTACAGAAGTTAAGTTACTCCTGTTTAGTCTCGCAAGGCCATCTCTCCTTCCGTTGCAACGCGTTTCATCCTTTCTTCTACCAAAATTCGACTCTGCCCATCATGCAGCTCTCTATCCTATTCAGCAGCGTGTGTATTGTAACTACCGTACTAGCCGCCTTCGACTAAACCGGGGCTGGTGCAGTTCTCAAAGCACCAGAAGGGAACTCTTTTACTTCAGTCTCCAGCACCTTCACCGTCCTATCCTTAACCGGCAACAAGCTCTCTATATGGGTCCCAATCTGTGAATGCACAAAATAAGATTACGTTCTCAAATGCGGCATTACTTATGACCAAAATCTTACTTCCTTTGCGGCATGGTATCCAGTCAATGCGACAGACACGACAAGCGCAGCACCCGTCAAAGCAAGCGATTCTATCACTGTTACAATCTCTGTCGCCTCACCGAATTCGAGTGCTGTGGTCCTCGAAAATAAAACGCAGAAAAAAATGTCCACCCAGACGACCAAAGCCTCTGATTCCGTGGACACTTCAAAGCTGACCACACTTGCCGCTGACTGGTTCGTGCAAGCTGATCAAACCGCGGGTGAACTAGTCCAGGTGCCTTGTTTTGGTACAGTATCTTTTACCGCCTATAGCGCGACGTTGAAGAGTGGAAAATCTGTTTCCCCCACGGTCGCGGAGACTTTTGAAATATCAGGGTACTTCCGGGCAGATCTACTCAAAGACGACTACGACAAGCTCAGGCGTTTCGGTTATACAGCAATGAGTGGCTGAGATATTGTATCATTTTGCATGTATGAGTCACGATGTATTTTCGTTTAGAGGTGAGGCTTCCTAAGCAACCAAATTTATCGATTAGAGGGAGGATAAACGCGGCAGGGGTTCGAGGGTATACACCTACCTCAGATAGACACGTGAATATACTTCTATTCAGAAATTCCCTTTGCCGTGTAATCGCAAAATAAATAGACGGCAAGACATAGCCCCAGTTGTCTTCTAGAGGAGTAGTCAAATGTAGATCATGCTTATTCGCATAATTACTCGCGGTAGGCATCAAATCCAGGCTCGATCCTAACAAGTGAACCAATGTACCTTCAATTCTGGGAGCGGAACTTCACTTCCGTTCCCGGAGTTGCCCCAGCACACTTACGATGAGTTTGATACGATGCGAGGAATGAAGGCCGGGTATATGCAAGAGATAAGGATGACGAATTGAGATAGAAACTGCTGCAATAGACTGAAATGCTGTTCTGACCTACAGTAGCTGAAAGAATCTGTTTTTCAGAATGTTTTGGAGGAACGATAGCAGAATTGAGATCAATAACGTCGGTGATGCCCGGTTAGGATCAAGGTAGTATATTACTGTATATGATAGATCGGCATACTATAAAGTCTGGATCGAGTGGTTCAAATGTCCGTGAGTAGATAACAAGATGAATCGAACTGGTCATTCGCGGATTCGATATTCAAGAGCATGTGTAAGAAACCGCGTTAAGTCAAATCCCAGATCCGTTTCTAGGCATGTCCTTTTTCCCGGTGTGAGTGTTAGCCGGTAAACAAAATTTCTCTAATTCCGCTGCCCCATGTCTAAGCCAGCTTTGCGCTGTACAGCATCTTTTTGTGACTGTCGACAGTAGTTGAACCAACTTTAGAGGTGCACTTGACTGAGGGAGAGTCTGTCGTGAAGACTTCATTGTGAGCGGGGAATTATGTGTGACGTACGCCCTGTCTGGTCAATCACAGTGGCAAATCTGCACTCTAAAGCCGAACTCCCTCTAACCCAACCCTGGGGTTATACCCACCACATACCGAGCTGACATTTTTAACAATCAACGGCACCCCGTAAAGGCCTCAGCGGTAGGTAACAAGAAGTCTTCTTTGCCAGTTCAGATACGATCATCCTCAGCTAATAATGTATTTTCCTCGGCCTTCGTCATCAGTTGCACGACGTAGTCTACGACTATATGCTTGGAAACCGTGGCTCCATCTCACGATATAATACGATTGGTGATCCTGCGTATCGTCATCAATATGGTACTTTTATCCGGCGGGAGAAAAGTTGTGATACTGCCGTCCTCCGTGTCAATCGGCAACTTTACAATGAGGCTTTGGAGAAGCTGTACGACTTCCCCACGTTCTTCATTGTTGTGTTTGAGGATCGACCGGTATTCCGAGTGTCCCCTTGGTATGGGTCAAGGTATCTCGCGATTCCGTTCGGATGGGAGCTCTCAAGACTCTCCAAGCTGTGCATTCACGTCAGTGTTCGCGCAACCCACCATACCTTTGTTGGAGATGTCAGTGACACCACAGAGAGCACTTTTGAACGCCTGCGATTTGATCACCAGTACCAATTGACAAGACTCGGAGTCCTTTAGATTGTTATTAGACTCTTCAATTTGACATTTATCTGTACAACGCCGATGCGTTTGCGAGGCAATACGCGGCTGATTCCATCGCGAACGACAAGATCGATGAACGTGGCATGTACCCCCGGGGAACGCCACAACACCGGACGATTATGAGAAACTAGTCGCGGCAATACCGGGATCAGTAATGGACGTCTGATTTGACCTTGATTCTGAAAGATGCAAAAATACCTTGTCGACGAGTGGCAGCTTGACTATGTGGTTCCTGGAGACTTCCTTCAGCAGACATATGAGGAGCTCCAATACCTCAGGGGTTCGAAGCTGAGTAGGCTAACGAAATCGACGCCTATGTAACTGAGTCCAATGATTAATTGACTCGTTCCTCACAGAGCCACTGGGGGAGGACGAAGCTTGCTGTCGAGGTTGTTGCATTCAGGGTGTAACATCTTATCTGCTTGAAGCGACCGGCAACGCCATCGGGTGTTGGAACGGTCTCTCCTCTATCAGGATTGATTTTAATTATCGAGGTTGTTGCAGGTGAATCAGGTAGTCAGAACAGAGGATGGCTTTCTACGGCGAATTTTGATCAAGGATGAATGAAAGTGAGGTTTGATTTGAAGTGATATCTGAAATTCACTAAACCATATACCGTTAGGGGAAATACAAACACATACAGCGCAACTGTTCATGTATTCGGACCAAACGCCTAACCCGCTGTATATCTCATATTATTCTTTGAAACGTAACCTTCTTTCACACGCCCCACCTTCCGATGGCCTTCCATGCTATTCATCCCCATACTCCCTCCTAACCTCACTCCTCCGGGCTCCTTCAATCCCTCCCCTTCACCCATCTCACAATCTCCCTAATATCCTCCCTCTTCACCTCATCCCTCAAAAGGCTTCGCCCAACCTTCATCTCCCACCGCATTCCCCTCGCCATTCCCCCATCAAAACCCCACGGCTCAGACTTCCTCATCACCCTCCCCTGCTCCCTCCCACCAAAACTATGAACCGCCATCCCATGATCACTTTCCCTTAAATTTGTGCTCACAACTGACATCCAATTCTCCGGCTTCCCTAAATGAAAGAATATCCCGTCCATGGGGAGGCTTCCGTCCAATTCGTCATGTATGTTCAAAGTATGTAGCTTGACCTCGACTTTCCGCGATAATAATTTTCCGAATTACCGAGGTGAGGAATGAAGGCTAAGGCCCGGGACTATTATTTTACGTAGTAACTGTGGGTATCCAGCGCTTCGATATCCATCGAAACGCGTGATTTCTATTTCAGGGAGAAGCTTATGATTCGACGTCACCATTGTGCGATCGATAATTTTACTTCCTCCAGATATCCCGATTGCAACGTCGACAACAATTTCAAATCCGATCTGGAACTGGGTTTGGATCGGAAGATGTTAGTGTGCGCTAGCATCTCATCCTCAATCTTGACCACATGTAGCAGTATGTTCTTCGAACTTCCGCCCTATCAACATGATACTCCGTGTGCAATCATCATAATAAGATATATCCCTCTGCAAGGCTCGTTCGAAGCAGGTGTAAAGATCAGTTTCCTCTTTCGCCTTCATATGGTCGTCCGTTTACTCGGACGGAGTGACGGAGATCTTTGTCGAGGAGTTGGAGGATGGAGTCTTTCTCGCCGAATATGCCGGTGCGGATGCGGAAGGAACGAAGATGTTCATGAGGAAGTGAAGCGAGTTTCCGTCGTACATTTCGTCCATAGCGAGGGAGAGGTAGGGATTTTCGAGCGTGAGGTGGAAGAGGACGTCGGATATGAGGTCGCCAGCTTCGGCGGATGTGGGTAGGAATGCTGTCATGATGGATGAGGACTAGCGTTGGTTCCTACAGTTATCAAAGGTGTAGCATAGCATTTGGTGTTCGCTGTTGTTGGATATCTTCTAGTATTTGGTATGCCATCTGGATTGTTGTGATAAGTGCATGTTATTGGGTGCGAGTGCAGAATGATGTTGGGTTGGTGTTGATATTGCCATATTGGATGGTAGATTTCTCGGATTTCTGATGAAGAGAAAAGAGGAAGCAGACAAGGGAGATTATGGTTTTGCGCTTTTTATGAATAATCAACGGTTACTACCAGGTTGGGCCATTTTAAGTATGGTACTGTGGGTAAGGCACATCTTTGGTGGTGACATAACGACAAGCCAAAGTTCTACTATCACCTTCTACAACCTCCATACCGCCCATCCTACACATAATCATCCTGGCAGCGCACTTAAATCTAGCCCTATAAACCTCCCCGTAGCCATAAGAGCCCTCCACATGACGTCCCAGGGATGTCGCTGGACCAAGCATACTTTTTGTTATGCGCCTTTTCCTGCGCCTTAGGTGTGTGGATACCCGGTGTCAGATCCAAATGGATTTTAACCAGCAACCCAGGTACGTCGGCTAGGAACATGAAGAACTTTGCGGAGGCGAACATGATTTTCGTAGAAAAGTGTGGGAACCATAAGAGTAATAACAAATTTTCATTGTTCAGGTAAGAAAGTGGGCATGATGCTGCGAAACAAAAATTTAAGGACGTAAGACGCGATGCGTGAAAATATCAAAATGTCGGAAACAAAGGGGTCGACAAATCTGAAGGTATCTAGTTGAAAAGAGTAATATGCTGCTCCTTGTGAGATGATATCTCTGGTTGGGAATGCGGACGCACTCTCTTGACATCGAAAACACGACCTTGCACTGCGCGGGACACCCTGCTACGGTAACCAAAATCCCTCTTGCCGTGCACCTAAACCAGGCCACGCAAAGCACCATGTAGTCACAAAAACTCCCCTCGCAAAAGTGGACAGATGTCGTTGGAAGGGGTGTACCTTTTCATGTGCTGCTTTGTCAATACCTCCATGTCATCCATTGATGCCATCCACCGACCCAGCCCACTGATTCGCCGCTCTTTCTATGCCTCTAGACCACTGCTTCCCCAATCGCCTACCCTCAAAGCTCCAACGTCCCAATCCTACTTCCCGCCGCACCCCCAACACCCCAGGGCCCCTCAGCAACCCTTCTCCTCACTATACCTACAACATCCTGCCTGCCGCCTGCCTTCTCCAACCTCTCACCAAGACACTTCAGAACATCGAATTTCGCCATCGCAACTTGATACGCCGCATTCTCCGCATCTCCCCTCCCACCCACCAAATTCGAAAACGTAGTCGCAGGCTTCAACAAATAGGGCAGCACGCCTCCGCTGATAGTCGGATCGAGAATCAGGTCGAGACCTGTTTTGGGGAATTCCTGGAGGCGGAGGAGGATGGGGTCGGCGTCGGAAGAGGAGGCGGTGGACCAGTTTGCGGTGATTAGTGCACGGACGAGAATTAGGGCGGCGAGGGCATTGTCTTTCATGGCGATTGTATCGGCGTGGCG